ATGAAACCTTCTGGATGGAAGGTGAAATGTCTCAGCACAAAAACAGAGACCGTCCAGATGACCTGGCTGAACATGGTTGGATTTTATACCTGGATCACTGAGCGTGGACTTTGATGTAAAACAAGGAGTGTTTTAAGAGGGTGAGGCATCTTCATGGGGTGAAAAAAAGATGCCCTTAAAGTTTCAGAAAAATACAAGTTGGACGGTAACCTGGTGTGACACAGCGATGCTGCACATTCCTCACATTCTGCATCTGTTCATCAAAAATTTGTGGTGCAGGCTTGGACCTGGGACCATCTGAACCATGAGAACCAGAGGGTTCCTGGTGCCCCTGGCCCGTTTTTGATCCAGAGCTCAGTCTGAGAGACTCACATTAGACCTTCATGATTTCATCTACTTTCTAATCACCTCTATTTATGACTGAAGTTCTGCTCAGGTTCTGCTTCGGTGGGATCCATAAGGTCCATGTTGGTTCTGAAGTTTCAGAACATTTGGCTCTTTAAAGTGGACCTGTCTGAAACTGGATAAAAAATATTTCAAATTCAGAGTCAGAGATTCTTTGTCGTTGTACATGTGTGTACCACAGCACAGAGCAGAACCACAGCACAGACCGTTGAGCCCATTCAGCTTCTGCTCAACTTTTACAATTTGTGTAACACAAACCAGACCCAGAACCGGGTCCAGAACCCTGCAGTAAAACCTGCTCCTCTTCTGTCCCCTGAAGCTGCACGTCCTGGTGTCCTCCAGCAGCGTGAAGCTCCACGTGGACTGTCAGGAGGTGGGAGAGAAGAAGGTCCGAGCTGCCGGGAACACGTCCAGAGATGGATACCAGGTTCTGGGCAAGATGTCCAAATCCATTGGATCCAAGGGAGCCTCAGCAACCGTGAGTTCACACAGTTTCATGAAACAACCACACCAGAACTGCTGCGAGTCAGACTGGCCAGGAGGCTTATACTGTACTGGTGCAATGCATTCTGGGTAATGACGTCCAGAGGCTGCAGTGGAGACAAAAAGTTCTAATGTTTGATAATAAAGTTCTCTTCTTTATGTCGTTCTGCTCCATGTATGGGTGGAAACCATGAAAACCAATCAACTAGAGATGATTAGTAGATTAGATTTGAAGTTAGCAGGCTAAAGCTAACAGGATAAAGGTAGCAGGCTAAAGCTAACAGGCTAAAGGTAGCAGGCTAAAGCTAACAGGCTAAATATAGAGGGCTAAAGCTAACAAGCTGTCTGAGGCACTGCCCACAAACCCCTGTGGTCTGTCCTCCATGAGCGGGTCAGAACCAGCCTGCTGTCAGGTGTGTCCATCATGTGCAGCCCCTGGGATGTGTCAGAACATGTTCTGATCCGATGCTGGGGACGGAGAGCGGAGCTCCATGCAGCTTCATCTCTCTCCTCTTCATCATCGTCTCTTCAGTTCTCTCTGTTCAAGTGAAACATCTGAACGTCAGACATCGTCAAAACTCACCTTCGAGCTGGACGGAGCCACAGACACCGGTCCACGTCACTTACCCAGAATGCATTGCAGCGTAAACAACACTGCCACGTTGGTTTTTAAACGTTTATGAAAACTAAACAGCCTCCAGAATTTTAAGGTCCTGTTTTTGTAGCTCAGTGTTGATCAGAGGCCTGCTGGTCCAACGGGTCAGATGTCTTCAGTGGTTCAGAACCATCATCTGTTAATCATCACAACCTGGTTTGTTCCTCAACACGTCTGTCTTTACATCACTTTAGTTTCATGTGATCACGTAAAATGTTTGTTGGGTGATTAAAAAGATTGGAGCATTGATTCTGTGATGATGATGATGAAGGCTCTCTGTGGGTGTTTCATGAACTTTTCTCCATGTTCTGGTGCGGTTCTCCTCAGTGGTTCAGTCTCAGCACTTTAAATGTTGTGGATTAAGATGCCCCTCCTCCACAGTTCCAGCTCCAGATGTTTGACATGGTCTGCAGCCTGGCCTGGAACAGCAGGGACAGATGTTGTGACCTGCCGTCCACGGTAAGACACGTGAACACGCCCACCTGCAGGGTCCAGGTAAGACACGTGAACACACCCACCTGCAGGGTCCAGGTGAAGTTTGAGATCCTCACATTCAACGTTTTTATTCCAAACACAGAAACAAAACACGGAGTGAGCTCATCTGATGAATGAGTCTCAGAGGAAAACTTCAGCTGCTTCTCATTTAGATTTACTGTTCACGCAATAATTCTGTGGAAAGGTCCAAACATGTCAGAAGTTCACATCTGCTGCTGTTTAGGGCCTTTTCAGCTGCAGATTGTTGTCTCTCTACACATTAACAGTCTTGTTCTGAAACAAAGAAAAGATACAAAAACACATTCAGACCAGAACATGGACGAAGGTTCAGCTGTTCTGGTCCAATCAGAGCGGAAATAACAGGAAGTGGACGATGCACAGAGACCAGGGTGAAACGAGTTCTGATCAGAACCGATCAGAACCAAGCCCGACTCCTGACTGTTTTGTTACAACAGAACACTTGCAGGCTGAAGGTGTTTATTTCAGCTACAGTTATAGCAAGGAAAAATGCAGAGCTAAAGTAGAACTAACACAGAGCTAACAATGAGCTAAAGTAGAGTTAACACAGAGCTAACAATGAGCTAAAGTAGAGTTAACACAGAGCTAATAATGAGCTAAAGTAGAGTTAACACAGAGATAACAATGAGCTAAAGTAGAGTTAACACAGAATGTACAGAAAGTTTATTAAAACACCAGGAGCTCTTCAAAAGGTCCTAAACACTGCAATAACCCACAGAGCAGCTAACTCTAAGCTAATACACGCCACAGGCTCCTATGAGTCACTCAGCTAATCTTTGGGTCACTCGGCTGATCTGTGAGTCACAAGGCTGATCTATGAGTCACCGGCTGATCTGTGAGTCACTCAGCTGATGTGTGAGTCACTCGCATGATCCGTGAGTCACTCGGCTGATCTGTGAGTCACTCTGCTGATCTGCAAGTCATGCGGCTGATCTATGAGTCACTCAGCTAATCTTTGGGTCACTCTGCTAATCTGTGAGTCATTCAGCTGATCTTTGGGTCACTCAGCTGATCTGTGAGTCATGAGGCTGATCTGTGAGTCACTCGCCTGATCTGTGAGTCACTCGCCTGATCTTTGGGTCACTCGGCTGATCTGTGAGTCACTCAGCTGATGTGTGAGTCACTCGCATGATCCGTGAGTCACTCGGCTGATCTGTGAGTCACTCTGCTGATCTGCGAGTCATGCGGCTGATCTATGAGTCACTCAGCTAATCTTTGGGTCACTCGGCTAATCTGTGAGTCATTCAGCTGATCTTTGGGTCACTCAGCTGATCTGTGAGTCATGAGGCTGATCTGTGAGTCACTCGCCTGATCTGTGAGTCACTCGCCTGATCTTTGGGTCACTTGGCTGATCTGTGAGTCACTCAGATGACCTATGAGTCACTTGGATGATCTGTGAGTCCCACGGCTGATCTATGAGTCACTCGGCTAATCTGTGAGTCATTCGCCTGATCTAGGAGTCACTCAGCTAATCTTTTGGTCACTTGGCTGATCTGTGAGTCACTCAGCTGATCTATGAGTCACTCGATTGACCTGTGAGTCACTCAGCTGATCTATGAGTCACTTTTTTGATCTGTGAACCACTCGTCTGACCTTTGAGTCACTTGCCTGATCTGTGAGTCACTCGGCTGATCTGTGAGTCACTCAGCTGATCTTTTGGTCACTCGGCTGATCTGTGAGTCACGAGGCTGATCTATGAGTCACCGACTGATCTGTGAGTCACTCGCCTGATCTGTGAGTCACTCAGCTGATCTTTGGGTCACTCAGCTGATCTGTGAGTCACGAGGCTGATCTGTGAGTCACGAGGCTGATCTATGAGTCACTGGCTGATCTGTGAGTCACGCAGCTGATTTTTGAGTCTCTCAGCTAATCTTTGGGTCACTGGGCTGATCTGTGAGTCACAAGGCTGATCTATGAGTCACTGGCTGATCTGTGATTCACTCTGCTGATGTGTGAGTCATGCGGCTGATCTATGAGTCACTCAGCTAATCTTTGGGTCAC